ATACTTTTTGGTTTAATTTAAAAACATTTAACTTTGTAGTGAGTTGAAGAACTTCATAGTATCATCTCAGAACCGTACTGTTTTTAGTTACGGTAGCTCAATGTTGATATGAAATCTGATAGTACCAAGCCCTTTCAATAAAACAAAAAGGCTGTTCTCATCCACTTATTCAAGATGAACTTTAGCATCATTGTCAAATTCCAAGAAAAATCTAATTGTGATTTTGTTTGAAACTGTATTAGATTGATTAGGTTAATGTGCAAAACTACTATTTCTATAATAGGCTTTTGTTTTGTTTTGTTTTACTCCTCAACCAAGGACATGCTCATTAATTTTAGAGGAAGGGTAAGGGAGGGAGAGAAACATCGATGTGAGAGAAAAGCATCAATCAGCTGCCTCTAGTACGAGCCCTTAACAGGACTGAACCCACAACCTAGTCACGTGCCCTGATCAGGAATCAAGCTCTTGACCTTTATGTTTACTGGACGATGCTCCAATCAACTAAGCCACACAGGCCAGGGCCATAGTTATAGTTTACATTTTTTACATCTAAGCATGTCTCTGCATTTATCCAAGCCTTCTTTTACACCCCTCCAAATTAAAATATTCTTGCATTTCTGGAAGAAACCCTACTTGGTCTTATATTACTATTCCTTTAATAAACTGTTGGGTGTGATATGGCAGTGATTTATTCAGGGTTTCTACATCTATATTCACAAGTGAGACTGGTCTATAATTTTCATTTTTAGCTTCACAAACTGAATGGGAAAGGGTTCTAGGTTCTTGCAGGCCCTGACACAGTTTATACTGTATAAAAAACTATCTGTTCCTGCCCTGGCTATTGTAGTTCAGTGGATTGAGTGTGGGCCTGCAAACCAAAGGGCCACTGGTTCAATTCCCAGTCAGGGCACACGCCTGGGTTCTGGGCCAGGTCCCCAATTGGGGATGTGACAAGGGCAACCACACATTGATGTTTCTCTCCTCTTTCTCCTTCCCTTCCCTTCTCTATAAAATAAGAAAATAAATAAATAAAATCTTAAAAACAACAACAAAAACCACCTGTTCCTTGAAATTTTTTTTTTAATTTTTGTAAATGTGACTAAGTATATTCCTTGAAAGTTTTAAAGAACTTTTACACAGAAAAGAGTGGGTCTGGCTTGTTTTTATGGAAATATTTTGGTAACTTTCAATTTCTTCCACAATTGGATTTTTGAAATGTTTCCTCCTGGGAAAATTCAGGCAATTTACATTTCTCTACAAAGTTGTCAACTTAATATTTTCAAATTCAATAGGTTAAAACTGTACTGAATACTTGATTACAATTTGTAAGTAAACTCATATTATTGGATATATCCCCTCATTGTTCCTAATTTTGTGTTTTCTTTTCCTGGATTTCTTAATTAGATTTGCCAAATCTGTAAATTGCAGCCTGCTGGCCAAATCCTGCCTGCTGCCTGTTTTTGTACAGATGGGGTCTAAGATTGGTGTTTACATTTTTAAGTGGTGAAAAAAATGAAAATAATTCTCATGACATAAAAATTATAAGAAATTCTAATTCTAGTGCCCACAGTAAAGCTTTACAGGAACCCAGCCACGCTCATTCATTTGAGTGTTTAGGGCGGTGTTCAAGCCACAGTGGCAGGGGAGTAGTTGCCAGAGACCATGTGGCTTGCAAAGCCCAAAATATTTACTATCTGGCTCTTCACAGAGAAAGTTTGCCGAATCCCTGGTCTACAGGACCAAGTTTTTTGTTTTCTGGGTTTAAAAATTTAAAAAAATTTTTTTAGGACACAAATTTTGATGGATCTACTGAATTCCCTGGATTATAATACTATCTTGGTTTCTAGATTACCTTTAGTATTGTTGATCAAAGTCAGAGTGGTATATCAGAGTTTCTCACAATTATGGAATTTTGCCAGTTTCTTCCTGTATACTTAATTATTTTTGTTTTATAGACACAATCCCTCTGTCTCTGAAAGCTAAGGTTGATGACATATTTCAGTGTGGAGAGTTTTATAAAGATAAAATGTCTTCTTTATTTCACTAGATATCTTACCTTGAGTTCTACTGTTTCACACTGAGGGGGAGCAGAGTTTGCCACCCCAAAATATGCCGAAAGGGAGTTTGGACAGAGGATTGGCTCCAGGAAGGGAGTTATCACAAATGACAGTAGATTGATACGAACTAGTGTGTGACAAAGTGGAACCTAGCAAGGCCCATTTGTTCAAAGTCTTCTCTGTGTCTCATTTTTTTTTTAATTCATTTATAGAGAGGGGAAAGGAGGGAGGAAGAGAGGGTGAGAAACATCAATGTGTGGTTGTCTCTCACGCACTCCCTACTGGGGACCTGGCCTGCAACCCAGGCATGTGCCTTGACTGGGAATCGAACCAGTGACCCTTGGGTTCACAGCCCACACTCAATCCACTGAGCCACACCAGCCAGGGCTGTGTCCCATTGTTAAAGATGGCCCAGCAAACACTTACCAAATATTTGCTTTTCCATCTCTCCATCTCCATGTCCTCCCTGCCCTTCTAAGTCCCAAACCACAAGCCCCTCCTTCTTCTTAGCTTCAGAATGGCAAATGAGCCTCAAATGTCCACTGGGTCCCCCTCGGGTCTCATATTCCTATGGCACCCTGCATGTGCATCCACAGCAAATTTTAGACATTTTCTCCTGTTATCTGTCTTATGTTAATTTGATTATTAGCCCAGCCAGAAGAACTTAGAAAAGCGGGAGGAAAGTTATTGTAATGACCCTCACGATACTAATACCCTGAGTAGCCCGTGTTCCTGACTAGTGTTGCCCAAACACTGTTATTTTGTTATAGGTGCCACTTTTGTAAATGGAACATAGTTGGGTCTTAATTTTTTGACCCATTCTGTAGATTATTTAATAGAGTTTAGCCCATTTATATTTACTATTATAGACTCATTTTTATCATCTTTTGTTCTGTGAATTGTTTTTAAAAAATGTGTTTTTCTAGACTGATGGGAAAGGTATACAACTCATTTTGCATTTCCTAGAATAATGTTACCACTATGTGAATTTTTAATTTTAAAAATATAGAAATGTTCAAAGAAGAAAGCAAATCACCCATATTTCCACTTTCAGAATTAATCACTGTTAATTAAGATTTTGGTACTTTTGCTTCCAGTATTTTTTCTATGCATATATATCTAAAACATCATATAAATAAGAATAAATTATGCATAACATATTAGTTGGACTCTTATAGATGAAGCCCGAGTCTCCAATCCTCTTTCCATCACCTCAGGTGGCCAGTATTATGCTATGTCCCTAGTTCTCTAGTCCTTATCACCCATGGAAAATACAGGTATTCCTGGCTATATACATCCTTTCACTATCCCAAAATTCCCTCTTAACAACTTGTGAAAAATTTCACCCCAAACTTGCTACGCAAAGAAAAAGCTGAGTGTAATGAAATGTCATGCACATTAAGCAAAAGCACTGTTTTGACTGTAGGCGGTGGGCCAGTGGGGGAAAGCAGATGGAAACCACCTTCTTTTGTCCAAGTGGCTCTGTCATTCTGCCTCAGGGATTCAACCAGAGTTAGGGGTCACCGCTATTGTTTACCTAGACAATAGTTCCCATAGTTTTCAGAGTTTCTGACATTTGTATCTTTTTTATATGTTTTATTAAGTAGTTTTGAGGCAAGACAAAATGGAATCAAGAGTTGGTTACTTTCTGCCACTATAATTGGGAAGCTTGTATCTATTTTTTATACTCAGAAAAACAAAACAAAATGAAAACCATATTTTTTACAATGCTAGTGAATGTACCCAAAGGGAAACATAATTCTGGGAAACCACTCAACAGATGCATTTTGGAAGGCAGCAATGGCTCAAGGAAGCAAAAGAAGGCAGAGAAGAAAACAGAGCAGCCCGCAGAGGGATTTTGCAGTGCCCTGGGAGGAGGCCAGTGCTATTACTGGATGTCCATGAGCCACAGGACAGGGAAGGGAGTCTTGCCCTAAAACACCTCTAGTGAAAAACCTGTATACCATATAACCTGACAGCTGAATTAAAATTAAAGATAAAAATCAATAAACAAAACGTTGACACAATTCTACATTACCTAATATGAGACATCAAAGAGCTCAGCCTGTTCAGCTTGACCAGGCCACGTTTAACATTAATCTGTCTGTAAGCTGGTTAATAACTAGTTTTCCTTTCAACAGTTAATCAGAAAATTCAGGAAAATATAATAAACTGATTGAATAGAAAGACATCTGCTAAAACGGAGATCGTACAACAGAAACATTGCAAATATCACTCCTTTTCTAATAATAGATCTGTTGTCAGTGCATTCCTATTAGAGATGTCACTCATGATACTGGGCAGATCCAACTTCCCTATCTACCTGAAACAACCTTATCTACACTTCTTAAGAAAAGCAGGGCCAGTCTGGTGTGTGCTGAGAAGGGGCCCCTAGATTGTTAGCTGCCTCACCGGCGCCCAGCCAAGACACAGGCTGGCCAATAGCTTGCATTAGCCTTGCGTGCAAAGCTGTACTTGGCCAGATTCCTCTCTTGGTTTAAACAGGAGAATGAGAAAAATTTGTCAACAGGAAAGAGGAGCAACAGAGTACCCGAGTCACACTGGTGGGCGAAGATTCAGATAACTTAACTATAGATTTCTGCAGTCTTGTTTAACTATTGTTTCAGTTTTCCTTCACAATAAAAAATTAACAAGGTGTTAGGGGCTTAACTTTAAACTATTTTTACAAACAAATATATCATCTTCACAACTCTGAAAAGTTATATGGGATCAAACTACCCACTTTAAAGATGAGGAAACTGAGGCAGAGTGGGATAAACTAATTTGTTAGAGTCACATGGCTTCTCAATGGTATAATCATGATAATACAAGACAACTGTGTTTCCCCATGAACCCACCTGGTCTGTTTCCTTATGGTTCTTTCTCCCAGAACATTAGCTACACCAAGAACAATATTGTAAGGCAGAAAAGTTTCCCTCTCACCTGTTTGCTGCATGGTAGTTATTGCCTGAGCATTACATTGTAGCTGTAACATGTGTCTCAGCATGGCCACTCCCCAAACAGGCAATTCTTGGCACATGGCGTGAACCGCTGCTGCTTTTGGCTGAGAGGATTTCAGACTTGTCGTGCGGGTCTGTAAACTGGCTGCTTCCAGCTGCCTGCACAGTGCAGAGACACTTAGAGCACAGAGGAATTTGTGTTCTGGGCTATGATGTTTAATATGGGGCAAAAGGCTGAAGACAGCATTATAATTACTTTCATACTTCCCATTAATGTCACATCCAGGAATTGGGGGCTCAAGTGTTTTGCCATTTCTCTCACTCTCCCCTCCCAAGTCATAACTGAGTGTTTGCACCAGATTCTTGCTTTCAGGGAAACTGATGTCCTTGTTACTAATCTCACCACAAAGCGTCCTCATGACTTTGCTGATATCCTCAAATCTGGCTAAAAGAGTTGACCTCAGGGCAATGTGGCAAAAGACCCCCAGTGTGAGAAGCAGCCCCCCTAGAGAACACTCTGTACTGTGGTAGAGATCCCAGGCCTGCTGCATACACTCTTGGCTGCAATACTTGGCATAGCTGCAGCCGTCACAGGGAACTGTGGCCAAAGTGTGCTTCAAACACCGGTGACAGTAGAGATCCCCAATGACAACTCTGGTATCCCACTTGCTTTCCAGGCCATAACGTAGTGGTGGCAATTCTCCTGGGTTAAGGACACTCACAAAAGCTTCCTCCTTCACCAGGAGCTCTCCAGGGAGAATGTCTTTTGTGGCGATTAGGTAGCGGCCTTTTAAAGTGTCTGTGCATAAGCTGACAGATGATGATGCACTGGATATTTGTTCATTTTCTTCCCTTAGGTTCATATCCTCAAAGGCATTCGTTAGAGCTGCTGGGAAGGTTTCTGTGAGATGCTCCTTTTCTTGTACCTTCATTTTCAGACGACAGAGGGTTCTCTGCAGAATTTCAAACTGGGAAGCTGCTGGAGTTTGTTTGGCAGCAAAGTTACTTTCAAGATCACTGATGATCTGGCTTGCCTCCTCTAGTCTCCCCAGATTCACCAGACACTCTGCCCTACGTAACATCAGCTTGGGTTGCAACCTTTCCGGATACCCGTGCATGTGTGCTCTGCTGATGTCTTTCAGACATGCCTGAAAACAGAAAGGAAATCCCCGAATGATCCTGAGTCCCTACTCTTTAATATCTACTGCAAGTCTGAACAAAAATCTATAGGAAGGTTAAGGATTATTGAAAATGGAGCAACCACAATCATATACTTATTTTACAAAATCACATTCTACAGTGCGATCTTTTTTTAATCCTCACCCAAGGATATGTTTATTGCTTTTAGAGAGAGAGGAAGGGAGAGAATGAGAGAAACACTGATGTGAGAGAGAAGCATCAACTGGTTGCCTCCTGTACGCATCCAAACTGGGGATCGAACCTGTTCCTTTTGGTGTACGAGATGAGACTTCCACCAACTAAGCCACCTGCCAGGGCTACCATGTGATCTTTTAATTGAGTGATTAGAAATCCATGCTAAAGAGATAGTATTTATCTTATTAAATATTTCTGTTTTTAAGGAAAATAGTCTTACAGAGAGAAGAATTATAGCTTGGTGACTAAGAGGGCAGGACCTGCATTCCAAGACTGACCCTGCCTCTTACTGCCTGTATGACCGGGTGCAAGTGACTTACCTTTCTTGTCTGAAAGACAGGGATAATAACATCTTTCTCACAGGCTCAATAGGGTTGAAATAAGGATGAAAATAAGGCCATGTAACTGAAGCGCTGAAAGGAGTGCCTGGAACACAGTACGTGCTCAACATACGGCAGTCATTATTATAAGAAGGGAAACAAATAACCAATACAGGAAAGTTATAAAGGGTAAATGTTTCACAAGTTTCCCAATCATTGTCTTCAGTAGTCCAGGACTTTCTTGCTTAGAACCTAAAGTTTGAGCCCTGCTCTTCTTTTTCAGTCCATAGGGCAATAAGTATGAACTTGTGACTACTGAAATATTATAGTTCTTACTCCTAGGGCATAATTTAAACTTCTGTGGAATTCTGAAACTGCTGTACCACAATGGCACTTCAGAGCTTATCCTTAGAACTCAAGTAGGGAATGAGAAGGAAGCCATTCCTCCAAAGCCCACCCCCTCACACGCACACACACGTTTCAGTGCCACGTTTACTTTCCCACTCAAAATGCATATTGAGGGTGAGCTGTATTATTGCAGGGATCATCTGGAACATGCTCTACTTAAGTAAAAAGTAAACGAACAAGTAAAGAGTTTGCTAACACTTGGAACCTGAAGTATTATTAGCAACTTATCTCACAGCTGGTCTCGACACTGAGAAATGTTGACCCACTGGATAAGATCCAGTGCCCTGTGGAATGTGCCTTGACTCCCTCACCCACCAGCACCACCCACATAGTCACCTCTGATAGGTAAGATGAATCAGGAGAAGGAACAAGTCTGGGAGGATGTCAGTTTGCTTCCAACTCAGCCTGCAGCGGGGCTCAGTCCTAGCGCTCTAAGGCAGAAGCAGAGGCGAAGGTCTAGTCCTCCAGCGAACCTCTCCCATCACACCAGGCATCCTGATACTCACCTCGTACTGACCCAGGTGGAAGAGGGCTGCAGAGCGATTGGCATAACACAATGAAATGTCTTCAGTGTTTGGTGCTGAATGAGATACTCCCTGCAAAACAATGAACCAGTTACAGGCATAAATGGAGACTGGCATCTTTAAAGTATGTTTTCAGATAGTAGGGGCTCCACTACTAAAGACTGAATGAAATTAGGAAATTTGCTGGATTTCTGTGTGCTTCACCTGCTTCAGCTTCATTTTAAGCTACCCTACAGCAAAGCTGTGAAGATCAAGCGCAGTAATAAATATTCAAAGCACTTTGAAGATAACAGCATCAGACACAGCTTCAGCCACAAACAATACTAAAGGTAAATGAAAATGGAAGAGCATAATCTTGCACATAATGAAGGGTGAATGGCACAAATAGAAACTCACAAAAGAAGAAAAACTAACAATATATGGGAAACAAATGGTTAATTCATATATAGATAGCCAAATATGTGAAAACAGCTACTTTTTTCCTACACCAAGCATTAATAACAATCATAAAGGTGGTATCTCAAATCACTAGAGAAAAGGTAGGGATTATTCAATTAAAGTACTGGGAAAAATAGGTAGCCACTGAGGAAAAATAAAGTTGGTTGTCTCTATATGATAAAACTTACATTAGGATAAATTCCAAATGAATCAAAATCTTAATGTAAAAAAAAAATGAAAGTATAAGAGCACTAGAAGAAATGATAGAAATAGTCTAATGTGCTGTTGGAGTGAGGAATACCTTTCTAATTACAACACAAAACCCAGAAGTCATAAATGGTTAATAAATTTGACTACATAAAAATAATAAATTTCTCTGTAGTGAAAACCAATAAAAGCAATGTCACAAGACAAATATTGAACTGGAAAAATGTCCGCAACTCATATTACAAGTAAAAGGCTCATTCCTTTTATGAACAATTCGTACAGATCAATAAGATGACAACTAATAATTCAATTGAAAAATAAACAAATGACAAACAGCTCTAATGGGAAATATAAATGACTCTTAAACATATGAAAAAATGTTCGACCTCATTCACAATCAGCAAAATACAAATTAAATTACTATAAAACACTACTGAGATTCATTTTTTACCTATCGGTTTGGCAAAAAAAAAAAAAAAAAAAGTTGATGCACACTGAGGTGGCAAAGGAGTGAGGTAATGGCTACTCTCCTGTGCTGTGAGTGGGGGGTAAACTGGACTCATAATTATGGACAGCAATTTAGCAATATAGATATATTTCTCCACTGACCCAGCAATTTCTCTTCTAGGAATTTATCCTACAGATATGCACAAAATAATATAATCATTTATCTTACAGATATGCGCAAAATAACACACATGCAAAGTTCCTCTTCACAGAATTGTTTGAAATAGCAAAAGATAATAAACAGCAAATATTCATCTACAAGGCACCAATTAATTGTAAAAAAGATGTTAAGATATTAAGTGAAAAAAGTGCAGTGCTAAAGAGTGTATATGGAATGTTATTTATATAAAAAGAATGTGTGAGGGAGTGGGAGAGTATTTGCATTTATCTATAGATGCCAAAGGATCTCTAGAAAGGCACATTTAATAGTGTATCTCCTGGGCAGGGAAACGAGGGGGCTAGAGGGCTGAGGAAGCAGACTGTGCTGTGTAAGCTTGTAATTTTTGAATTCTAACTATATAAACACATTTCCTATTCAAAATAAATAAATAAAATAATAATAACAATACCATAGTAACCAGTACTGCTTAGGAGATAGGGATATGAACATTCCCTTACTCTGCTAAAAGGGAGGTTCACCAGTTCTTTCCTAATAAACAATTCAGCATCAAGTACCAAAGGCCTTAAAAACATATACTCAATAGACCCAACAATTGCACTTCTAGGAATTTAATCCTGAGGAAATAAGCAGACGTGTACAAATATTTGCATAGAAAGATGCTCCTTGCAGCTTTACAATACCAAAAAAATCTGCCAACATTAGATGTTAAATCAAGTATAGCTCTCTGTAATGGAACACTAAGCCAGCCGTAAAAAATCATGTTCTAGTGGAAAATTTAATAACATGAGAAAAGGGTCACAATAAATTGCTGAGGGAAAAAAGCAGGTTACAAAATAGTAAGTACAGCATTATCTCAATTTTGTAAAAGAAAAACATATTTTCTGAGGAAAAAGTGGCTGAGTGGATACAAGTAAAAATGTTAACAGCACCTGTCATCGGCTATGGAACTTTTTTATTCTTCGTGCTTCTCTATCTTTTCCAAGTAAACATCTATTGCATTTGCGATCAGACAAAAACAAGTATTATTATAAAAAATAAAGAAAACTGCTTTATAAAATTTGCACAGTACCACAATCATCAAAATACTGGCCTCACAAAACAGAATTACTGGACCAGGGGTACCCAAGGTAGCCCAAGATGAACGCAGCCCAACACAAAATCATAAATTTACTTAAAATCTTTCTTTTGCTCATTAATTTTCCTCAGTGTTTGTGTATTTAATGTGTGGCCCAGAGACGCCAAAAGGTTGGTCGCCCTGCGAGACAGACAATTGGTACACCAGGGAGCTTCCCCCACCAGCGGAGATGGCGGCAGGGGGAGGTTCTTACACTGAGCTCGCCAAAACTAGAAAGAGGAATGGCTAGGGCTCCCAAGTGCACCAAAAGCTAGCAAGATAACTGGATAGAAAAAGAAGCCCTCCCCTCCCTACCCCTTTAAGAAATGTGGGCTTGAGCAGGCAGGAGGGATGATCTTTGGGACAGGAGTCCACCATTCTCGCAGGTGGTGTGGCATCTGAATAAAACCTCTTGCCTTTTGCCCCAGCATCTGACTCACGAGTCTGGCTTTTGTTGTGGCAGGCACCGAACCTCCATTCTTTCAGTTACAGTGTTTGGTGACTCTAGTGGGAGAGCATGGACCTTGGTGAGTCTCAGAGGACCCAGGCTGGGGTCCTGCTGCCTGTGGCAGGCTGACTCCGAGAAAGCAGACCTGGGGGAATTTCCCAGAAGTTGCCAAGAGCTTTCCTCAGAGAATTTCCCTGCACACCTTCTCAAGGCATCAGCCGCCTGAAACGCTTCTCTGGGGAAAGGAAACAGGTTTTGGGGGAGCAGATGGACTCCAAAACTGCATAACTAGAACTGGCATGCCCACCAGGGGTCCTCTACCCTGCCACTCGGGCTTCAGACCACTTGAGCTTTGTGTCACTTGGACTATGTGCCACTCTGGCTTGGTGTCGGTTGGGCTTTGTGCCACTGAGGTCCAGGCAGGACCACTGGCAGATGGCAGGAGATAAGACACTAAGACTTGCTTTCAAGTGCTCATTTGGAATAATGAAATTATGGATCCAAGTTTTGTTTTTATGTTCCCACTTTGTCTGGGGTCTTGTTATGGTTGTGGTTTTAGGTTTGTACTTTTGTGCCATCAGGGGCTGCTCTGTTTTGACTCCTACAGGGAGCCCACTGGGCTGAATTGTAACAGATTGGTCCAGGTACAGCTATGATCCAATCAATGACTAAGAAGGAATTAGTTTTGTATTGTAACAGTGCTTGGCCTGTGTACGCTCTAGACCAAGGGTCCCCAACCACCCTCCTCCCCATCTGTAAACATGGCTCTAATTACTGCCTGAGCTCCACCCCCTGTCCATCCCCACTGTCTGTGGAAAAATTGTCTTCCACAAACTGGTCCCTGGTGCCAAAAAGGTTGGGGACCGCTGCTTTTGACTGCGGGGGAAAAAACGGCCTCTTAATGGTTCCCTAAATTGCTACGCCATCATACAATTAGAATTGTTTTGCTGATGGTCAAAGGAATGGGACAAAATCCCTTATGTCCAGGCACTTACGTTTTTACACAATAAGGATTCAGCAAATAAAAGAAAACTAATGAGACAGAGAAGGGAACTGGCTTCAAAACCCCTCCCTGATAGTAAGACACAGGAAGAAAAGGAAAATGAGGAGATGAGTCTCTTTAATGCCATGAACCCAGGAGATGCAGGATTAGCAGCAGGAAAATTTCCCTCACTGCTAGGTACCCATGAAATAGGGCCCAGAGGGGAGAGAGCCCCACCCCTTTATGATGAAGGAGTGACTCCTCCCTAGAAGACCTGGCAGACTACCCAGTTTGGCCAGGGAGCACCCCTATCCCTTTGAGGCAATACCCTATAGGTGGAATCAATCAGGAAGGCCAGCCCACTGGCTACTATTGGGCCCATACTCCATTTTCTATTTCCGATTTACTGAATTAGAATTCCATCCCCACATATAGGGAGGATTCTTAGAAAATGGCAGATCTTATTACCTCCATTTTTGCCACGCACCATCCAAACTGGGCAGGTGTACCAGCTCTCCTTAACATCCTATTAACAGCAGATGAAAGGTGGCTAGTTATAAATAAGGCTAATAAAGAGACTCATTGCCTCCATCAAGAGATTCCAAAGGGGCACCAACCCGGCTGGGGCAATTCCCTTGACAAAGCACAACTGGGACCCAGACAGCAGGAACCTAGTCCTCCTAGAATATTACAAAAGGTGCATATTGGAAGGGCTTGAGTTCTGGGAGAAAGGACTGACCAGAACTCAAAAAGAAAAATAAAAAGGACAGAAACCCTCATGGAGGAATGTTAGAAAGGAATGATGAATCTGAGGGTGAATGAGGAGGCCCAGGGGCTCCCACAGACGTCTCCTGACCTCTTACTATTTCCCCACAGGAGCCCCAGGTACAACTGACAGTGGGGAACAAACTAATTGACTTCCTCATAGATACAGGAGCTAACACTCAGGGATAAATACAAAACTGAGAAAAGTTCAGCTGCAGTGATGGTTACTGGGGTGACCAGATAGCTACAAAAAGAGGTGTTCCTTCAACATCTAGAATGCTGGTTTGGGGATCAAAAACATACACACAGTTTTCTCTACATGCCAGACTGCCCCATTCCATGGGTGAGCTGAGATTTACTTTGTAAATTGCAAGCACAAATAACTTTTTTCTCCGAGAAGCAACAATCACATGTATCGGTCCTGCTGGAACATGCTCTCTAGCTCCAGATGTTCCTGACTTGCTCTGAAGAACCTAGAGGTCACCTCTTCCCACCTGAGCAGGTCAATCTATGAGCCATTTGGGCTAATGGAACCCCAATAGGGCCGTTCCAATCTATAAAAATTAACCTAAAAATAAGGGGAGTGGATGCCACAGAAAAAACAATTACCTTCTTAGAAAGGAAGCTAGAGGGAATTCAACCAGTATTGCAGAAATTCTTAAAATCAGGATTAATTCAGCCATGCCAGTCTCCCTATAACACCCCTATTTTGCCAGTCCAAAAACCTCACTCTCATAAATATTGATTTCTACAGGATCTTACTTAGGGCCACAAATGAAAACAATGAGCCACACAGTAAAAAAGGTTCTGGCAAAAATATGCCAGAAAACACATTGGATATGGGACCAGGTACTCTCTATTGCCTTGCTCCAGATTAAGGTAGTGCCCCAAAGTGGGCTTAAATTAAACCATTTTCAAATAGTTTATGGGAGACCCTTCAAAGTTTCTATTTTAGGAATACCTCCTTTAAATTTACAGCATGAATCCAAAAAATATGTACAACATCTAGGGCAAACACTAACAATTTTGCACAAGTTTGCTCATTGCAGGTCCATCTACCCATCTGATGAGCCCTTACACCTGTTCCAGCCGGAAGACCAAGTCTTACTAAGACCCGGAAGACTCAAGATCCTGAACAGCACTTAGCCGAGTAATGGACCGGTTCCCATGACATCCTGCTGACAACACACTCCTCCTTAAACCTCACGGGAATCAAGTCTTTCGTCCACCACACACAGATAACTGCCTGAGGAGGACTCAGATCTGCTGCTGCTGTTGACACTGTGAGGGAAAGCTGAACCTGCACTCCTGAAGGACATTTAAAATTCCTCTTTTGGAAAGGGACAGCACCTCCCAAAATGAAGTATCAATGTTACTTTTTATTTTATTCTGCATTTCCCAGACACTGGCTTCCTCGGCAAATTTATCCTGCTGTTGGGTGTGCCCCAAAAAGCCCTGCTAAGGATTAGATGGTGGGGATCCTTCCATCTCTCCAGATTCTGACTTCACTACAATCCCCCTGCACTACCCCTCACTAAACACTTGATTGTCTGCACATTAGGTCTCACTTTGAATTTTTTTTATTTTTTATTTTAGAAAGAGGAAGGGAGGGAAAAAGAGAGGTAGGGAAATACCAGTGAGAGAGAGAGACACGTTGACTGGGTACCTTCAGCACACACCCCAACCGGGGATGGAGCTCACAACCCAGGTGTGTGCCCCAACCAGAATCACGCTGGTGACTTTTCAGTTTTCGGGACAACGCCCAACCCACTGAGCCACACTGGCTAGGGCATGTCTCACTGTGGAAGCCCTCTGCAACACCGGCTCTTCAAATATGAAGCAGTCTCCCAGCTACGCTTGCTCAGCGCTGCCATCCTCTACAAACCATGTATGCTGCCTTCTGAAGATGGCAATCCTTCCTCACATAAAAACTTCCCCCCATTCCTAACCCCCCTCTTCCTTTAGTAGATATGAAGAATCTCTGGACAGTAGGACAGGTAAGACAACATCCTTAAACAGCAGGAAAAAATTATAGAAGATGAGACTTTCATCCACTTACCCTTATAAGATTACAAGTGTCCACAGTTTGGATGGAGTAATTGTTACTATAGACAGTCAGTCAGAGGGCCGGCAAGTCTCTCCCATTGGCCAAGATGGCAGTGGGGGAGGTTCTTACACTGAGTGTCCCATAAGCTAGAAATATGAATGGATAGGGCCTGAGCATGCCAAAGGCTAGAATAACAAATGGATAGGGCCCAAGTGCACCAAAAGCTAGCAAGATAAGTGGATAGAAAAAGAAGCCCTCCCCTCCCTATCCCTATAAGAACCGTGGGGCCTGGCTGGTGTGGTTCAGTGGATTGAGCACTGGCCTATGAAGAATAAGGCTCACCAGTTCAATTCCCAGTCGGGGCACATGCCTGGGTTGTGGGCCAGGTCCCCAGTAGAGGATGCATGAGAGGCAACCACACACTGATGTTTCTCTCCCTCTCTTTCTCCTTCCCTTCCCCTCTCTCTAAAAAGACATAAATAAAACCTTAAAAAACAAAAAAGAACTGTGGGCTTGAGCAGGAAGGGGAGGTGGTCTTTGGGACAAGAGTCCACCATTCTCCCAGGTGGTGTGGCACCTGAATAAAACCTCTTTCCTTTTGCCCCAGCATCTGACTCACGAGTCTGGCTTTTGCTGTGGCAGGCAGCCGAACCTAAGCTTGTTCAGTTACAATAGGAAGGCTCATCTCCCTCCACATGCAGAGCAAACCTTAATTTTTTTGTCTGATTTTACCTGTTTTTCTTGAACAATTTCCCTTGTGATCACATTTATGATACACACTCATAAAGTGGAAGAGATTAGCTCTGGAGGAAAACTAAGCCATTTATCAGTGGATCATTACATGTAATGGATTTTAATTCTTTAGCAATAACTAATACATTATTCAGCTACATACAAGCAGGGTTTTTTATCTTTTATAGAAGCTGCTATTATAGATCTGATAGTTTTTGGAAAAATAATTCCAAACTTTATTATAGGGCTGTTAAAGAGTCACAGTAGGGGTGCACTTCTAAATGTATAATCATTCTTCCTTTTCTTTTAAAGAGAGTGGAAGGGAGGGAGAAAGAGAGGGAGAGAAACATCTCTGTGTGAGAGAAACATTGATTGGCTGCCCCTCACGTGCCTGCTACTGGGGACATGGCGCACAACCCAAGCATGTGCTCTGACTGGGATTTGAACCAGTGACCTTTTGGTTCGCAAACCAACGCTCAACCCACTGAGCCACACCAGCCAGAATACACTCATCCTTTTAATATACAAGGTCATCGACCTGGTACAAGGGAGTGATGCATCTTGCTTTAAATCTATATTTATATTTCAAAAGTTATAGAAGGGAGAGTCTCAGGAATGTTCCAGTTCCTACTATGGAAGCAGGACAACAAGAGCAATAGGTTGATAAAAGCCAGTATTCCTCCTCAAAATCTAGGTCATTGACGGCTAAGTAATTTTAAATATTTGTTGACAACCTTCAAAGTAGAGTTCAACTGGTATGTGGCAATTGAGCTTATTTTCCTTTCTAACCTCATCTAAGTTGTACTGACTGTAGCTAATACAGTGACTAACCAAAAATCTAGCTCTCTCTAAATTGGGACTATCAAACTAATACCTCATCGGTCATTTAGACAAAAATGGCACACAATTCAATGAAAGCTGACAACACGAACCACACAGGGTAAGGGATCCAATACTATTGCTACAAGGTATCTGAAAAAATATGGGAATAGAAGTTTCTTGATGGAATTCAGGACATATAATACAAACTACCCTTTGTTGTAGAATATAACCTACAGCAGAATTCTGTCACTTTTCTTTTTCAAATCCAATCCACAAATTATAGACAAAGCTACCACTGGCTACGTAATTCAGCATTAAGGCTCTATCTTTTGAAGAAGTATGCTTTGTTAAATTGTTAAAAGAGCCCCTCCAGCAGAGCTGGGAGTGTCTTACCTTAGAGTACAGCACGGTGGCTCCCATATAATCCTTCCCCTGGAACTTTTTGTTCCCTTCATCTTTGTAAAAAAGGGGAGCATCAGGGTCCTTTTCTATAAGGTAGCCTCTAGAAAGCTTTTTTAAAACCATCTCATCTTCAGGTCTTTAGGGAGAAAGAAACAAAAAAAAGCATAAACGTTATTTCAAGGAAAGCTCTTAACCACTGCACTAGAAACCAATGGCCTGTAAAATCTTGGGGCACATGAGGTTCTATTATGTAATATGAGTGGAGGAGGGGAGATCTTGTGGTCTCAGAGACATAGGGACTGGAATTTCTATTTAGATGACAGAGTGCTAATTTTTTATTCTTTTTTTTATATAGGATTTTTAAAAAAAAGGTTTTATGTATTTTTTTTAGAGAGGGAAAGGGATGGAGAAAGAGGGAGAGAAATATCCATGTGTGGTTGCCTCTTGTGCACCATCTACTAGGGACCTAGCCCGCAACCCAGGCATGTGTCCTAGACTGGGAATCGAACCGGCAACAATACTGACAAGGTCCTTGCCTTTAGGAGTGTATAGTCTAGTAGTGAATACAGATATTAACCAAATGACTACACAACCATAAAAGGAAAGTTATGCAATGTTGTAAATGTATAAAAAAATGAAGGTGACCCAGCTGGGGTTCTTGAGTAAAGATCTGGTTGATCCTGAAAGATGAGAAAAGAATTCATTCTTAGGGCATGATGGAGTAGAGAGGAGATAGGAAAAGCATTTCAGTCAGAAGAAATAAGTGAAGGCCATGTGGCATGAAGAAACATGATGTGTATCAAGAAGTGAAAGAAGGCCACCCTGGCTGGTGTGGCTCAGTGGACTGAGCACCAGCCTCCCAACCAAAAGGTTGTTTGTTTGATTCCCATTCAGGACACAGGCCTGGACTGCTGGCTGGGTCCCCAGTTGGGGGTGTGAGAGAGGCAACTGATCTATGTTTCTCACCTCTTTCTCCCTCCCCTTCCATCTCTTCTAAAAATAAGTCTTAAAAAAAAAAAAAAAAGAACTGAAAGAAGGCCGATATGCCTGAAAGGGGAGTGTAGTGGAAGAGGCGGTCAGAGAGACATGCGGCCGTCAGACTGCCGTGTCCGACGGGCTATCCATGTGAAGAATTTTAGTCTTTATTATGAGGGGAAAAGAAAAAACTCCTGGAAGGTTGTAAGATCAATAAAATTGATTTGTTTTGATAAATAATTCCTGCTGTGATATAAAAAATAGTTTGGAGTGAAGCAAGGATAGATATGGGAAACCAGTTAGGAAGCTACTGTAATGGTCTGGCTACTGACAGTAATTTGGATTAGGGAAGTGAAGGGAGTGTATTAGTATTTTTTTGTTGCTGTTATATAACAAATTACAGCAAAACTAGTGGCTTAAAATAAACAAAAATTTATCTTACAGTTTGAAGGGCAGAAGTCTAGCATGGGTCTCCATGAGCTAAAAATCAAGGTGCTGGTAGGAATGCACTGTTCTCTGGAGGTCCTGGGGAGAAGCTGTTTCCTTGCATTTTCCAGTTTCTAGAGGCTGCCTACATTCTCTGGCTGTGACTTCCTCCCTCCATCTTCAAAGCCAGCGGTGCTGCCTCTCTCTGACTGTCCTTCCATAGTTAGGTCTTCCTCTGACTCTTCCCCTCCTCCGACTCTTCTCTTCCCCCTCCTTTTCCCAATTTTAAGGACTCTTATGATTACACTGGGCTTACCTGGATAATCCAGGCTCCTCTACCTTAAAATTGGCAAATCTGCAATCTTAATCCCCCTTTACTGTGTAACATAGTCACAAATTCCTGAAATTAGGACATAGATATCCTGGGATGTATTATTCTAACATATGGAGAAAGGGGAAGAATTGACTTGATTATAAGTTTTTAGACTTTTTTTTGTGATTACCCTAGAGGTTACAAATTGAATCCCTGATTTCTTACTATCTTCAGTTAGTTCTTCCACCATTTCCCAGACAATATAAGAATCTTACAACAACTTAACTCCATTTACCCACCTTCCCCTTACTGTTGTCACATCTTACTTCCAAATGTTTTAGTCTGCATTCAGTTTTGAAAGGTATTTTCATTAGGTCCAGAGTTCTAGATTGGCAAGTTTTGTTTTGCTTTGTTTTCCTTTCAGTACTTTAAAAGTGCCATCCAGTTGTCTTCTGGCTTCCATAGATTCATTAAAAAAAAATCAGCCATTGTCTTATTTTTAGTCTAGCAAAGTAACATCTTTTACCTTTGTTTTTAAGATTTCCTTTTTTTCTTTAATTTTTGGCAGTTTGAGCCTGTTGTCCTTAAGTGCGCTTTTATTTATGTTTACACTGTTTGGGATTTGCTAAGCTTCCAGAATCTGTGGGTTGACATTTTTATGGCTCAAAACAGGTGGTCAATAAAAATTCACTGAATGGCCCTGGCTGGTGTGGCTCAGTGGATTGAGTGCTGCTAGTCTATGAACCAAAGGTTACCAGCTCAATTCCCAGTCAGGGCACATGTCTGGGTGGTAGGCCAGGTCCCCATTAGGGGGTGTGTTAGAGGCAACCACACATTGTTGTTTCTCTCCCTCTCCCCCTCCCTTCCCCTCTCTCTAAAAATAAATAAACAAAATTTTTTTAAAAATTCACTGAATGAAGCTGTGGGAAACTCTTGTTTCAGTTTTCTTTATATATGTATGTATATAGTCATGAGAGTTTTTGAAAATACTGGATTAAACCTCTAAGGTCCTTTCCAAATTTGAGCACTTATAAACTTCCATGTGGAGCTAGTCAATCTCCACTACAATCTTTGGGAGATGGCAAACTTTACAGTCTAATGATTATAGCAAGGCACCGATTATTGAAACATAATATTTACACTGAAAAAGCTAAACAGCGTCCTTACCTCTTTTAAAATAGTAGCTTAGGAGATACTGAAAATAGCAAGAACTGCTGAATGGCCCAAAATACAACATAAAAATCTAAGTTTAATCCTTCCATCAAAAAGAGATATAACTTAAGAGCAAATGACAAAAGGTAACATTTTCCAGATTAAAATATCCCTGGTTAAAGCTTCCATTCACTTACTGAAGAAGCAAAGAGGAGTGAAGAAAGATATCACTTAAAGTCTCTGCTGTACAAATTGTGACCTGAACAGACTTTGGGAGCAAAGACCACTTCTGAAGTATGTATGATTTCCATGCATCCACAGGCAGGTCCATGCTACTTTATACCTATAAAATGAGTAAGAATAGAAAGAGTTTAGATTTCTACAAATGTATAATTCTAGAAAATCAAGATTTCATTCCAGCAAGCATGAAGAAACAAAATCAATTCTCATGGCCTTTTTCAACAGTTGTTTATATGCTGAAGAAGGACCTATATTCTCTCATACCAATCTGCTCAACTGTCTTTTTATTTACAAATATTTACTGAAAGACTACCTTGTTCCAGGAACCATGGCAGGTAACTAGACAGCCACCATCCCTGTCCTCTTATGCTTCCATCTATCCCAGTTGCTCAAGTCAGAAACCTGTGGGACATCCCAGATTTTCTTTCTCACTCTCCCCAGCAACTATTAAGTTAACAAATTTCCATTTCTTACATGATTTTTTTTTTTTCCTTCAATACCCTTTAGTTCAAGACCCGGCCATCTCTTGTCTGGCACTGTTTCCAGAGTGTCATGACTAGACTTCATGCCCTCAGTCCTTTGCCCCATCCCCCAATTCAGTCTATCCTCCACATTGAGACAGAGGTCAGTCTTCTGCCTTAAATGAATCAATATTCCACCTGGCATTTAAGAAAGCCCAGTGCAAGCCCTTTATTATTTGACCTTTGGCTTACTTTCTAATAATCAAATATCACTTTTGCTCCGTAACCTACTATGCTGATCTACTCAAAACTATCCCCAGCTTCCCAGGCTATTCATCTCTTTAGTTTTTGCATAGGCTACTCATTCTTCTGGGGGCATCTCTACCCTCACTTGGAGTACACAGGGCAAATTTCCATACATCCTTCAAAACTCAGTTCAAATGGCACCTCCTCCGGGAAGGCTTCCCTGATTTCCCATCTGTGTGATTCCAGCACACTCGTCCCTTTCCTGGGGTTTATACCATGTCTACCTTGAGACAGGGCTACTTACAGTGGAAACTCCCTCGACAGACCGTGCTCTCTTCTGAGGTCAGGAACCGGGTTTTACTTATATTCAGAAACACTCAGTGTGATACGCTCAGGATGGAGTCACTGCTTCTTACTTACTACCTGTGGCAGCAGGGTTATTAGCTCTAACTCTGGGTTACCACGCTGTCTGCCTGCAAAAGGCCGAGCCGGGCATGTTTCCGACAGCCCGCTAGCAAAGCTCCCGGATCTAGTTCTGCACGGCCTGTAACTGCGTTCGCGTCACCCTAGACGCGCCCCACAGCTTAGCTCCCCGCGTTCCGGCTGACCGTCCCGCGACTCTGCCGCGAACTTGGATTCGGGAGGGACCTGTGTGCCACCCGCGCTGCCTCGGCCAATGCGGTGGCTGTTCAGCCCCCAGGCCCGCCTCTGCGCCCAGCGCACGTCGGAAGGCGGAAATGGCGTACACGGCTCCTCTGGCCAATTGCTTTAGAGCGCGCCGGACCTCGGCAGTGAAGCCCGTGTCTCCAGGATCGGAAACGCGGGAGTTGGCGCGGCGGAGCCATGGTGGGCCACCTGAGCGAAGGGGCCATTGCGGTGAGTAGGCGCCTGGGAGCCGAGCCGGGTGCCCGGCGTGGCTGTGGGCCTTGGGGCTGTGGGCAGTGGAGAAGGGGGAGAGGGGCTGGGGGCGTTGGGGAGAGAACACAGTAGTAGGTGCTAGCGGGGACTGGGGGAACGGCCGGCTCATCCCCAGAATCATCACCCCTTACCTGCAAGAAAATTTCCATTGCCTTTTAAACATGCTTAAGTTTTCCTGTTTAAGAATACAAAACAAAATAAATTGTTGATTTTCCTCCCTTCATCTCCCACCCATGGCCACTGTGTCTCCCCTCCCCTTCTTCCACCCACAGTCAAACTTCTCCAGAGTTATTTTCAGCTATTTCATTTCTTTACCCCCTATCGACCCTTGAACCCACTCCACTCATTCACCCCTCTGATCACTGTAGAAATAACTGTGGCTGAAATTAGCAGTGCTTCCTGGTCGCTAAATCCAACAGACAATGCAGTTTCAGGTTACCAGAGTTCTCATCAGACTTTGAGTTCTTTGAGCACTGCTTCCTTCTGGTGACACTCTTTTGGCTCTTGTGGCTCAGCTTGGTTGGTCTTTCTCCATCTTATTTGCAGGTCCTTCTTTGTAAATTTTTGTTGACTAAAGGCTCAGCTCTAGGCCCTTTTCTTAGGAGAGTCTCATGTTAATTGCTTACAGATTTCTTCGCCCGGAGGACCTTAACTATGAAAAGACAAAACTCTATAATCTACCTGTCTACCTGGTATCTCAAAGGCATTTTATTTTATTTTTTAAAATATTTTATTTTTTAGAGAGAGGGGAAGAGAGGGAGGAAGAGTGAGAGAAACATCTATACGCCAGAGAAACATGAATCAGTTGCCTTTCCCCCACAGCTGGGGACCTGGCCTACAACCCAGGCGTGTGTCCTGAAGGGGAATTGAACCTGTGATCTTTGGGTTTGAAGGCTGGCGCTCAATCCACTGAGCTACACCAGCCAGGGTGCAAAGGCATTTTAATTTCAACATGTCCCCCAAAAATCCTTTATCTTCCTATATCAGGGCCTCTTGGTGTTCTCTATCTGGGTGAATTGCACCATTATCCATTAAGTTATGCAAGACAGTAATTGAGGGATCATTCTTACTACATCACCCTGAATGTCCAGTCCATCACCAAGTCAGATGTATTTTACTTTACATATAACTCTTAACTCCATCTACTCTTCATCCACATTGGCACCATCATTTTTTGCCTGGGTCACTCACTTCCATTCAGCATACCCTCCCCCTGTCATTTACATCATAGCATTCCCTACTTGTTGCCTCCTTTCTGGCCATTTCCTAAAAAAAATGTTAATTCCTGGTATATTCCATACTCTTGCCTTCCATGGGGTCTTCGATCATTCTTTCCCCTTTGCCTACTGCCAAGGTGGTTTTTCTCATGGCTAACATAATCTTCATACCTCAACTCAATTGTTACTTCCTCAGAGAAGCCCTGTCTTTCCTTACTAGCCTACATCTCTTGATTCTGAGACCCTAATTTCTGTTTCTTCACTTATTAGCTATGTGACTTTGGGCAAGACACTGCACTCTGCTTTTCCTCTTCTGTGAAATGAGAGTAATGATACCTAATACCTACTGCCTAAGTTTAGTGGGAGGATTAAATGAGATACTATATTTAAAGTGCTTGGCCTCTGCCTGATACATAGTAAATGCTCAACCTGTTACCTATTACTGATAATCATAGATGTCATTTTTACATTTATTTCTTGATTTGATTAACATTACTTACTCTCTGTTTCCCCCACTAGACTGTACATTCTTTTATATTGGTGGGTTTTTTGTTTTGTTTTGTTTTTCTCAACATAGTATGCGATACCTGTATCAACACCTGAGGCAGTAGCGGCTCATTTTTGGCACCCAATAAATGTTTGCTAGTTGCACATCAGGCAGTGAAAAGAAAGAGTGTGGGGGCAACAGGGAGGGGAAGAACAGTTGGTGGGGTTAGTGAATATTTGAATAAATTAGAAATAAGTAGACCTGGGAAGTGATTGCAAATTCTAGTCCTCATTTATTTTATAGATGCCACCTTGCACCTTTAAGATAAATTAGGGGGATAGAAAAAAAATTAGGAATAGTTCACCTTTAAAAAAGAATGATCATGGGAGTGTCATTTTAATTTAAAAGACACAGGCCCAAAAGGGTAAGCAACTAACCAATAGCAGAGGCATTTTAGCCAAGAGCTAACAAGAAATAAGAGATAATGCATGGAATCGTTGTGGTAAATAGAATAAATAAGATTTGTAGCTTAAGTAATTGAGTAATATAAAGAAAGATGAAGGGATCTGATATTTTTGACCATTTCCTATGCACCACATACTTTATATTAGTCATTACTTATAGTATTCCTGTAAAGTAGATTTATCATTACCCCCATTTTAAGATGAAGGAATTAAAAGGTACAAAGGAGTTGCATTGTTCATGGAGTGAGGTTTCAAACACACGTACCCTTGACTATTCCATTCTCTTGCCTTGTATTTTTATTAGCAATGTTAATTTGGAAAATTTATGGCAATTTTACCTTACGTATATTTATCACGTCCTAGAAAAGAGTAAAATGTTATATTCAGTATTTATTTATTTTTAAGATTTTACATATTTATATTTAGAGAGAGGAGAGGGAGGGAGAAAGAGAGGAAAGAAACATCAGTGTGAGAGATGCATGGACTGGTTGCCTCTTGCATGTGCCCAGAACTGGGGACCTGCCTGGCAACCCAGGTATGTGCCCTGACCAGGAGTTGAACCAGATGCCTTTTGGTTCATATGCTGACGCTCAATATACTGATCCACACCTGTCATGGCGATATTCAGTGTTTATGCTGGCATGTTTTGTTTGTTTGTTTATAGCTTTTATTTACTCATTTTTAGAGAGATTGGAAGGAAGAGAGAAGGAGGATAAAAATATCCATGTGTGAGAAAAGTTGCCTCTTGTATACCCCCAACTGGGGACGTGGACTGCAACCCAGGCATGTGCCGTGACTGGGAACCTAACCCATGACTTTTTGGTTCATAGGCCGGCACTCAATCTGCTGAGTCACGTTAACCAGGGCCCTATTTATATTTCCTAATCCCCTCACCTCTACCCATTCCCCCATGACCCTCTCCTATGTGGCAACCTTTTTCTTAAATTCCTTTAACATTTCATATAAGACTGGTTTGGTGATGATGAACCCCTTTAGTTTTTTCTTATCTGGGAAGCTTTTTATCTGTCCTTCGATTCTAAATGGTAGCTTTATTGGGTAGAGGAATCTTGGCTGTAAGTCCTTGCTTTATGTGACTTTGAATATTTCTTGCCAGTGCCTTCTGGCCTGCAAAATTTATTTTGAGAAATCAGCTGACAGTCTTATGGGAACTCCCCTGTAGATAACTTTTTTCCTCTTGCTGCTTTTAAGAGTCTCTCTTTATTTTTAACCTTTGGCATTTTAATGATGATGTGTCTTGGAGTGGCCCTCTTTGCATCCACCTTGTTTGGAACTCTGCTTCCTGGACTTGCATGTCTGTTTCCTTCACCAAATTAGGGACATTTTCTTTCATTATTTTTTCAAATAGATTTCCAATTTCTTGCTCTTGCTCTTTTCCTTCTGGCATCTCTATGATGCTAATGGTGTACCTCTTGAAGTTGTCACAGAAGCCGTTTATACTATCCTCATTTTGGGGGGGTTCTTCTTGTCCTAATTTGTTTTTTCTTTCTTATGTTCCATATCACTGATTTGATTCTCGGCTTCATCCACTCTATCGTTTCCCTATAAATTGTTCTTTATATTAATTAGTGTATCCTTCATTTCTGACTGGATCTTTTTTATGCTGTTGAAGTCCTTACTAAGTTCCTGAGCATCCTTATAACCAGTGTTTTGAACTCATCGTCTGATAGATTGCATATCTCCATTTTATTCTGTTCTTTTTCTGGAGTTTTGATCTATTCTTTCATTTGGGCCATGTTTCTTTGCCTCTTAGTTTTGGCAGCCTCCCTGTGTTTGTTTTTATGTATTAGGTAGAGCTGCTTTGGCTCCATGTCTTGGTAGTGTGGCCTAATGGAGTAGGTGTCCTATAGGGTCCAGTGGCACAGCCTCCCCTATCATCCAAGCTGAGTACTTGGGGTGTGCCCTTTGTGTGGGTTGAGTGCACCCTCCTCTTGTGGTTGAGCCTTGGTTGCTGTTGGCAGATGAATGGGAGGGATTTACCCAGGCCAGAGAGCTGCAAGGACTGGCTGTGACCACTGACCACCACCCTTTGCCCTCTGTGGAGGATCAGCTGTGCAGAGGCAGGGTGGCGGTTCTCCAGTGTGGTCTGTAGCTGTCCAATGGGTGGACTGGCCCTGGGGTTTCCTGGGTGGTACAGGCCAAGGTCAGCCCCCACCTGTGGTTTTCCTGGGGCCACTCTTCTTGAGCTATAAAGTAATCTGAGATGGCTGCTACTTGTGCTGGGCTTGGAGATTCTCAGGTGAAGACAAACTGTGAATCTAGGCTGGCTGCTGCTAGTGCCAGTCCTGGTTCTCACTGAGGCCAGCTGTTGCTTGTTTGATAGGATTTAAGAAGTTGTTAAGCAGCCCTGGCTGGTGTGGCTCAGTGGATTGAGTTCAGGCCTGCAAACTAGGGGGTTATGATTTGATTCCCAGTTGGAGCACATGCCTGGGTTGGAGGCCTGGTCCCCAGTGAGGGAGGCATGTGAGAGGCAACTACACGTTGATGTTTCCCTCCATTTCTAGA